AAAATGCCAATTCAAAGAGAATAATTGAAATATCATATAATTACAGTGGAATTGCAGCTTTTATCACAGGACCACACTCCGAATCCCCCTGTAACTGTATTGTCATGTGACATGTGCAGTGTAATAGGACAGCCTTTTGCGGCTGGATTTATTATGAGGCAGACCAAGACAAGTATAGTTGAACAAGGGGTATTTATTTACCATACAGCTCACAAACATTGCATCTAATAACAACTGACAGTCTTAAATACTTTCAGCTGTCACAGGTTAAAGCATTATTCTATTAACAGGTGAGTTCTCAAATCCTGACCTTCCACCACATTATCACATTATACATCAACTTCAATAAAAATATGTATAAATACATTTTACATTTTCATATTAATGAATATTTTAAACTTTATCCGTAAACCATACCCCTTATTGTAAAAACACCAAAAAAACCCAAGCACAAAAGATTTCCCACGCTCCTTTAACCCATGGCCTCTCCTGGAACCTTTAAATGTGTCTGGACCCCCAGGAAAACATTTGCCCAAACACCCTGGAGAAAGGTGAGTAATAACATCTTACGGTCACTTCTTTGCACCACCTTTATTTCTAGACTTTCAAACACACTATCATTAGTTATCCTTACTGGTAAACTTTATTTGCTCTCAATCACAAACTGTCTTCTTCACAGACAACCACCACATTTATTGATGAGGAGCAGGACCTGGAACAAAGGCTACCAACTGATTTTTAAATACACAATAAATACTCAATGAAAAATCCAACTTGTGTGCAAATATTCTTCCTGTGCTAGGCTTAAAGTGCGATGCTGAATAAAGTGCTAGATAAGGTTCTTTTAATAAAGCAAAAGGTGCTCCTAAAGTGATATAGAAATTATAATATAAGTGGTAGTAAGGGAGGCCTCTCCATTACATGCAGTAAAGCCCACTATTAGAATACATCGTCTGGACCATTTCTCACCACAAATGCACCACAGTGGCTTCACCACATATTGTACATGACAATATACCATTGTTGAGCCAGTGGTTAGCATTCTGCCTGTGTTCGGTGTGTTCACTTTTGCCTTCCATATCCTGTTAGTCTGTATTAATTACAGCGGCATTCCCTCCTATTGTTATCATGTGTGTATTTAAGTCCTGTGTCCTCCTCTGCTCATTCTTGTGTAACGTCTGTTAGCACTGTTTCCCTGCGTTTCACCTTTATACTTCCGGTTCTAGTGTTTTATTGTTGTTGGGGTTTTTTTTAGTATTGTTGTATTTTGTTTGAGTATTTTTTTTCTACAGCAATAAAGGTAGCTCTTTGAGTTTATTACCCTGTCTGTGACTCCTGTGTCCTGCCTCCCACTCCACTACCATCATGACAATACTAACTCAAGACAACTGTATTCTGATGCGATGTCGTCTCTTAATAAACATTATGGAAAACCACACCAGTTTGCTGTGAGATGTACAGCAGAAGTGATGGAAGCTCCGAACATCCACATGAATAGCACGAGTTTTTAAGGGGCTTGCATGCATGTGTGTGCAGGCACTACTGGTAATGCTTTGAGCAGCCTGGAAACAGTGGCCATGTTGAGCTTCAGTGTGGGTTGCTGCTAAAGCTATCATAAGATATAAGAACTGAGTTCAAAAGATAACTGTACTGTAGGTTCTTTTAACGAGAGAAGAAAAAATGTGCTCCAATTATACTTTTTCACAATTTATTATCGAAACGGTTAGAATTTTAAATTAGTTTTACATGGTGCCATGGACCTCCTTTTACTGGCAGAGGGACAATAGGCTGTCACAAACAGGCAGTAAACACTTTTTTATTATGTGTGACAAAGAGTCTACTAAGGTGAAAAGATTGTTTCTTCTTCTATAATTTTCCAAGCATCTCCTTATTTGGAGATGACCCTTTTGCAAGCAACGCTGCCATTACCATGAAAAATGTCTCTTGTGCTCCAGTCTAGCCTGTAGATTTAAAGACAGGGGAAGAGTGCATTAAATAAGAGCAGATTTATGGCTGAGGCCACATGTGAGGGCGTCCTCTCAATGTTTATGATTGCCAGTGAATCCAAGACTATTCAATTATACACTGTTTAGAGTAAAATACAAAATAGAAATATGTGATGGTAATTATGAGATATAAGCGTCTGTCAGTGCGCCCCAGGGTGGTTGTGGCTAAAATGTAGCTTGCCATCACCAGTGTGTGAATGTGTGTGTGAATGGGTGGATGACTGGATGTGTAAAGCGCTTTGGGGTCCTTAGG